AGAACTGCCAAAGCATGTTTACATCCACCTGTAATATAAAACAAATTTTAAAGGAGGGCTGGCCATAATAACAGGTAATAATACGTCACCTTTCATTGCATATACTCATAGATACCTGTTGCCGCTGCACAATCATGACACTGAACGTCTATGATTTTCTCTGTTGCTTCAGTAATGATTAATGTTGTTGAATATGATTTGTTTCGAACCTTATGTTCAGGACATACTCGACATTTTACGATGCAGAGATCTCCTTCACGTTTTAGTTGAACATAACCTATAGCTGTATCTCCGTAGTTTTCACGACAGTTCCTTTAAATACTCGTTTTAATCTCAATTTTATTTCTTAATGAGCAGCTACACAATAAAACGTAATTATTTTACTTACAATGAAGCTTTGGCAGAACGTATTTCTGGAGCATTGAAACGATCATCATCTCTAAGAAACGTTAACACTGTAAACATGTCGATTTGCGGCAAATTACTACTATTTGCTTTCACGAAGCCTTTTTCACCGTGTTGAAATTCGGCTAAATAATTGAATATATTAATAATTTTGAGTCGTTTGAGAAAGCTGTATCTTTATAAACATATCGTATCCAGTCTTTGCAGGACGACCGTATGACATCGTGACGTAACGAGCCCATACGCCAATCGCGTGGCGTTTCACGACACGTTACAAAATTTGAATTTTTATGATAGTAAAATTATTAATAATAATTTACAGGTTTGCACAAAAACAATTTTATTTTCATTTTTGTGTTTTGATGCCATTAATACACGTTTACAATAAAAAGATAATACGGATAATTTTTTTTTCAACGACCCAATTGCATTGGGGCATTGGATGGGAAACATTCATATTCAGTGTCCCCCAAATTCTGGCAGTCAATATTCAAATTATAAAAAATATTTTTCATTAGTTTTGATGGCTGCATGTGACGCAAACTATAAGTTTACAGTGATAGATGTAGGACAATTCGGTAGTATTAGTGACGGTGGAGTTTGGGCACACTCGGACATAGGTCAGCTTCTTCATAGTGGTTTGCTTGATGTGCCTCCAAAGAAAGAATTGCCTTGTACATCAATAGCAACAGAATATGTATTTGCAGGCGATGAAGCTTTCCCCCTTAAAAAATATTTGCTGCGTCCATATCCTCGTTCTCAATTAACCGATAAGGAACGAATATTCAACTATCGACTGTCACGAGCACGTCAGGTAATTGAAAATGCTTTTGGCATTTTAGTGTCAAGATGGCGAATCCTTACAAAACCTTTGTGCTGTTCTCCAGAAAATGCTGATCATTTAGTCAAAGCATTAATCTGTCTCCACAACTTTATTATGACAACAGAAAGAGAAATTGCTCCAGTTTACAGGAGATACTGTCCATCTCTGTTAATACACAGAGAAATAGCCGATGGTGTGGTGTTGGGAGGAGCTTGGCGAGAACATGGACAACAAGGTGATCTGGTAGAAACTATTGGATGACTGTCTAGCAATAATTCAGATGTTGCTGCACGTGCCCAACGTGATGTGCTACGAGAATATTTTGTAACGGAAGCAGGGGAAGCCCAAGTCCCATGGCAATACCAACAAGTATTCAGACATTGCCATATTAATCATCCTGATTAATCTTCCTGATTTTCTTTAATTACTCTGATTTTCTTTAATTACAAGCAATATTGCAAGCTGAATAAGATATCAATTCTTTTGTGTAAAAAACGCGATAATCTAAATAAAGAAGTTTAATTTACTTATCTTTTATAGTTATTTATTCAATTACTATATGCATCCAACGTATATGTAAGTTCGTAATAAACGATTAATAAAACATTGATTGATATCTTTGATCTAATATTAATTGATTAATATATAACACATACTAACTTTGTTAACATATATTTTATTAATTATAAATGAAATGAACATGAATACTATTTTTATTTATACAAACTACAAAGACAGAAAAAGTGATATATTA